GGAAACCTAAGATGTGGTGTAAGCGATTCTCTCCGAGATTGTCCAGCAGCTTAAAGAGGCAGCGACAATTCCCGAGTAGGTAGCGCGCTGGGAGTCCTTTCACATTTCCCCTAGACGCTAGGCGTCCGGTGGCTATTGTGTAGCCTTACTGCCCAGAGCGCCGGCTAGCCATTCCCCTCTGATCGGATTGTTTTATAAGAATCAGCTGATCATTTGGAGTTTGGGGACCTTGTTACCTGGGCCCCTGGGAAGGAAACACATTTCTTGGTTTTGGAAACCTGAAACACAAGCAACTTGATATTTGGGGGAATTAGCTGATGCCTCCCGAGGCCTGAGGAGCTGGCGGGGAACGTGAGCGGTGCTGTCTCTTTAAAAGTGCCCTTTCTATGCTTCCCCCTCCTGGGACAGCCTGCAGATGCTGCAGGCTTGGGAGAGATGGTGTAGGTGACAGTGAATCAGAATGAAAAGGTAGATTTTGTGTAGATGCATTTGTCTGCTGTAATTTTTTATATATATTAAACTTACTGTAACTGTACAGTTCATTTCTGTTGTAAAACATCATTAAACCATTTTCCAAGTGTTTGCACATTGTTTGCGCTTCTTTGACGTGTTGGCATCCTGGCTGCTGCACAGTTACACTCCCGCTCAGACTGCCCACACAAGCCTTCCAGGTGACTTTTCCAGCGGGTATCCTCAGAGGGCCAACTTCATGTCATCACCGTGGCTCCTCACCCATTACCCCAGCTTCTTCTGAGGGATACCCCTGTGCACCAGGTGCCACTGTGGCCACCACATTGCTCCCTCCCTTCCCCAGGCCCTCATGGTTTAGTGAGACCCCAGTCCCAGCAGCAGAAATCTCCAGATCTGAAGTCTCTGTGATTAGACACACAGATCCTTGATTGATCCTGCAAGAGAGCACTTCAAAGCTCCCGTCTCACTGTGTATGTCTCACTGTGACTGCAGAAGTGGCGTGAACTCAACTTTGTCACATTTATTGTTGAAACTGCAGTGGCCCACTGGCATTTCCTGCCACCTGGCTGTTCTCTGAAGGAAGCTAATCCCGAACTTGGCATCCGAGGGACTCAGTGCTTCATATCTTCAAGCAATTAGATGATTACATAAAAAGGAAAATAGGACTCAAAATGAATTTGCCACAGAGAAAACTTAAGCCTATTGAAGAGTTGGGAGCTGTGTAACCAGCGTGTGCAGAAGGCCCTCAAGGGTTTTCTTCTGGGGTTGGGAGGTGAAGAGAGCTGTCGTCTCGGGACTTGGTTGCCATCCTGTCAAGAGCTCCCCCAAAAGGAAAGGCAAATAATGAATGGGGCCTCATGTCCCCTGCTTCTGCAGCAAAGAGCTTTTTCTTTTCATTCCACCCCTCTTTACATGTATAGCTGGCATTTAAGTTTACGAGGTTATTTTCTTAAAGACAGTTACACATGGTAACAGAAATCTGTTTGGTAGGGTAGTGAATTCTTCATGAGGAAGACTTTGGAAAACAAGACCTCGTCAAATCCTAAGGAAGGGAGAGAAAGTGCCAATGAGATCCTGTTACCCTGCCATCCTTGATAAAAGGGTTGCGATATTCTGAGCCACTCCAGTCACATCTACCAGACTGACTTCCCTATGAAAGGAAATGATTAATATCTGCTCCTATTGCTGGGGTTGAAGTCAGAGGACATCTATGGTTAAAATTTAGTCATCATTTCACAGAAATGTCCAGCCAGGCTACCAAAATGCACCTTGAGCTCCAGACATAACAAGGCTGCAATAACAAGGCCTACCCTGCTTAGGTCCCTCTGAACTGTTCTCTTAGTTTGTATTGGTTAGTTCCCATTTTTTTACCTAACCAAATGTTAAGCCAGGAGCCTTGAAAAAACACTGATCAAAGAGAGCCACGCCCTACCTCTGGTTCAGTGACATAAAAGTGATGCAATTTTTTTAAATAGCAAAAGCTTCCATCTTCTTGCTCTCTGTCTCTCTCTCTCTGTCTCTGTCTCTGTCTCTGTCTCTCTCTCTCTCTCTCTCTCTCTCTCTCACACACACACACACACATTAGATTTTCATTGCAAATACATGACCTATTGCTATCTAAGACTTAACTTTCACATTTTAACACTTAAAGAAATAAGGCTGCATCTTAAAATAGATGTTTATGTTGATGGCACATCGTGTTTTATGAAGCGTAACTTCTTGGGTTTGAGGGAATCCAGTTACACTGCAGAGGAGCTGCCAGACGCCAGGAAGGGGAGCCCAGCAGTGTCCGGGATGGTGGCATTACCTGGGATGACCACTCACTGGGGATCTGAACACATCTGCTCAGTTCTCTCCCAGCTGCTTTGTCTCATGGTTCTCTTGCATGTTGTCTGCTCAGTCTTCATGTCCTGTCCAGTCAGCCTGACACCCATCCCTCACTTCCAGTTTGCTTCTTGCCTCTTATACCATATTCTTGACAGAACTAGGTCAAGCTCTCTCCTCAGGCCACACACAGCCTTGAACTGGTCTGAAGCCTACTCACTTTTATAATAGATGAATCCAATGTTGGTTTAAAAAAACCCAGTGAGTAGGGCCTTCCCTGGCAGCACAACAGATTAAAGCGCAGCACTATGAGAAGCTAGCTGCAGCCCCAGCCCTGGAGGTGACCCACATGGCATGACAGACCTCTCCTGACCTGCCCAGTGCTCCCCAGTGTATTTCATTGATCTGTCCTGTTCCCCAATCTCTCTGGTGAATCCTCTCACCACCTCTGCACCTCTGGTCTGTACCCCAGTTCTGTATGCATAAATAAATCTTTAAAAAAAAAAAAAAGTGAGTAGAAGGTAAAGGAAGCAGACCAAAAGGATTGTCCACTGGATTGTCCATTGTCTTAATGAACTTGGGCCAGTGAAATCAAAGTAGCTAAAACATCATGTCATTCTCCCTGACCTTTGCTTCATGACCAGGTAGTATCATCAGGGATCATGATCGTCAGCCTTTCTGTGTCCTATCCTCAGGCCATTCCTCTTGTGAAGTTCCACAGTTCCACATCTTCTCCATTAAACCTCTCTGGATTTGGCCAGTACCCCTCATTGCAGCTATTCACATCCACCTCTGCTTCCACCAGCTGGTCCTCTCAGACAGCAGTGAGACACCAGGTTTTTTTTTATGGTGTGGTTGAAATCTCATGAAATTTTATATTCCTGTCTCTGTGATGATGCTTGTGTCTCCACCCTGGGTGGAGAGAAAATTCTGGGCCAAGAAGAGGTGGGTACTAGGTAGGTATTTGGTGAGTGGACTTAAATTCCCCTAGGCAGCCAGGTTACAAACTAAATGTCCTGGTTGCGACATATTTACCTTCCAGAGATGTGTGTGGGAATCCCAGATGCTCAGGGCCTGTTAATGGCCATGGCCCTGGACTTGCCCTGGACTTCATTTCTATTTCAAAGACCTGACCCACTATGGATCAGTGGTTGGGTCAGTCGGTGGCATTTATAGAATCAATACAGGTGGAGGAAAGACTTATGTGGGTAGAGCAACCATTTGTGAGGGAAGTGGACCCAAAGGTCCCCTCTTGTCCTCCACCTGTCCCAGGCTGTAGGGACTGAGCTGTGCTGTGGTATCATCTGCCCTTTTAACTCCCAGCCCCTGGGCCCACAGTATTTCTCCTGATGAGGCTCCTTTCCTGCAGCCCCTATACCTGCCCCTCAACTCCTTCCCCATGAGCCTCTCATTCCCACAAAAGCCTGATCCATCCTGCAGACTATACGGCCTCGACTGCTGCTCTCAAGGCCCCTGAGACCCTGAGCCACCAACCTGGGCACCACCCTCTTCCTTCACATAGTGTGATGTTGCTCCCCCACCTTCCTCCCACTCCCCCCACCACTCCATCCCCTCGCCATGGCCTCCTGGGCCCCTGGCTGCACTGGCTTGGGCGGCAGCTGATTTCCTGCTGACATCTCCAATACAGGCTCAACTATGGAAATAAAGCTAAGAGGAAAACTCATTTTCACTAAAGCATTTATTTTGCAAAAGAGGAAGGAGTAGCTAAGCAGTATAAATTAAACCCAAGCAGAGGGAGGGTGCTCTGTCTGTGGCCAAGCACCTTAGCACACAGCAATGTCCACGTGGGTAAACGGAGGTGACTCCTGCGCCACCTCCTTCCAGGCCTTCACCATGGGGAGATCTACTGTCATCCACGGTGAGGTGGACACGCCTTGCCCCTTCCTGCCCCCCCATGCTTTGATGTGTCTGTACTGACTTGTGTTCTTTACCCCAGCTTGTTCATTGCTCACAGCCCTGAGCTCATGTGAGCTCCACCAGGACATGACATGTTTCTCGGTGGGTCCCCATGGAAGCTGGCACACCCATTCTATAACAATGTGGGGGTGGGGGGTGGCTGCCTGAGTGAGGGGACCCTTCCTGGGCTAAGGCTGAGCCTCCGTGATGGCTCCCTGTCCCACCCCTCACCCTCCGCTGACTGGTGCCCACTGGTCAGGGCGTTCATACCATCCTGCCTCTGCCCAACCTGCTCAGCAGCCTCCTCACCTCAATTTCAGTTACATTGAAATGAGGAGGGAGTTTAACAATAGAAGCCAGATTTACAGCAGGCACAAAGCCACTCAAATAGGACAGAACAATACAGCCTATTAGGACATGTGCTGACACTGGGGGTTGCTCTGGGGAATTTACAGGTCGCAGACTCAAGACTCAACAACTGGCTGTGGCGGGGTGTCCCTGTCTCCCAGGCAGGAGCCCCCCAGACAGTGCTGGCCCACAGAGCATGCTGCATTGCCTCACGAGGGCTCGAGAAGACAAGGCCATAACCCTGGGGACACATGCCCTGGGGGTCCCGGGACAAGGAGTCTGTGTGTGACAGTTCAGAATTGATGTGAACACATATTACAATTTTCAGAAAGGAATTCCTGGGCGATGGAGAAAAGATGAGTGAGCTGGGCCGTAAATGCTCTGTCCGCTGTCTTTAACAGTCTGGTGTCTGCGGGTCTGCTCTGTGAGTGGTGGAATCCTTAGCGAGGGGGCAGGGCCTGCATGTGGAGGGCATCATAGGTGTCCTTGGTAGCTGTGCTGAGCCCCTGGCAGAAAATCAGAAAAAGAAGCAGGTCAGAAGACCTGGTCTGTGTCCCAGGCTTCAAGGTATCCACAGCACAGCCATAAACAGCCTCCAATGGCCCTGAATAGTTCTCTCACCCCATCCCACAGTGTGGGAGCTTCACCCCCAGGGCTCTCGGCCCTGCTGGGAGTGGCCCTGCAGCAGTTCCTCTCCCATTAAATCTCCCTGCTTCCCAATTTCCAAGGGCTGCTTGGCTTGGGCCAAGCCAGGTTCCTGTCAGGCCAAAAAGGAAGGACAGTCCCCCATGCAGAAGCCTGAACTGGAGTCAGGGAAGAGCCCAGGCTGTCCCAGACTACCTGCCGTCAGCTGGGCTCCTTGGCCTCTGAGCCCCCTCCCAAGCCTTCTCCGAGACCAAGCAAATACAGTTGGGTTGCTGGCCTGGCAGCAGGCAGTTGGGCAGGCCCAGTGTCACTGGACACCACTCTCCTAGGCCCAGGACCCCACAGTAAATTCTGGTGGCCCTCTGATGCCACCCTGAGCTCACACCTGGTGTTCTAAAGTCCACCCAGGGCTCTGAAGGAAACCCCATGGTCTGTATTTTAGAATATAATTCTTATGCTGATTTGCATAAACCAGGATTCCACTACCATAATGTTTTCTCTTTAAAACTGCTCTTTTACATGATGTCATCTTTCCTTCAGTCCACCCAGCCTCCCATCTTAGCTCTAAGGACACAAGGCTAGGCAAGTCTTCTGCCAGTGACTCTCATGGCCAGTGCTGCTCCAGGGCTGCCCGGCAGAGGTGGCCACAGTTTGCCCTGCCTAGCTGTTGGCAACAGCTAGTACCTCCCAAGAAGCAAAAAGCGGGTGCTTGACCTCAGCCCTGGTTTGGGAAGAAGCGGACCAGAGGCATCCCCACTGGCTCTCACCTGGTAAAGGCCATCGTTTCCTTTGCCTCTCCGCCGCTGGTTCTGTGAGAGAGAGACCGGGGGAGGGAGAAAAATCAGTCAGTGGAGGCCTCCCTGCTCAAGGGCTCCACTCCGGGGCCTCAAGAGACCAGAGGCTACTTTCGCCCAGCAGCACCTTTGCCTCTTCTGGAGAAAAGGGCCCTCAGACCACATTGGGGGGCATACCGAGGACAGGCCTGCCCTGATGAGGCCCAGGCTTGCTTAGCCCCATGTACATCCTCCCAGACATCAGATTCCTGGGAGCTAGGTCACAGGCAGCTGACCAGGCTGGTGAGGCCCAATGCCTGGAATAAACGGGCCTCCCCATGGTCCGGAAATGCTGGCCTGTCACCGACACTTGCTGTGATGGCGGCTACCTAGTGGCTCACTGATCTGGCTGAGTCCTTCAGATTCTGGCTCCCCAAGCACCAGCTGTGTCAGGTGCAAGACTTAACTAACGTGGGTCTCGAAGGCCCATGAGTCTCATGGGTTATTGTGGGAATTCAGTGAGACCATCTACCTGGCCAGGCCCAGACCAGCTGGCTGCCTGGACATACAACCTGCACAGCTACACAGGGCCCTGTTTAGATGGTCCAGCACCCCCTCTCCCCATTTGGAAATCTTTACTTCCTTATGAGCAAGGCACCCCACAGTCCTGAGTGCAGAACAGCTATCAGTGCACTTACAGCGCTCAAATCAGGCCTTCCTTCAAATCTTGTCTCCAGCAGTAAGAACCAGATTGAACTTTGTCTCCTGGGCCCCCCAGGAGCTTGTATGAGTGGCACAAGGAATGGATGGGAATGGGGACCTTCAGCAGTGTGTCTGGAAGGCCGTCGGGAACACCCTTGTAGTACCCACCCCCACCCTGGGGAATAAAAAAAGTTCAGCACCCACCTCTGCCTTCTTCCCAATCTCGCTGTAAGCTTCCGCCATCTTGTCTTTCTGCAGGGCCTGGAGAAGAAGGTGGCAGGTGCTGCTTTACTAACTGATGAAAGAACATCAACTCCCAAAACTGAGGCCTTATTTTTACAAACATCTCAGCCCACAACTAGCCCCAAGCCTCCCCTCTGCCCACTCAGCCTCTGAGCTGCCAGCCCTTTGCACTTAGTTGAGAAGCTCAACAAGAGGAGACATTCTCGCAAAGGACTCAGATGTTGGAGCAGACAAGGGCTCAGCTGGAACCCCTAGGATTATTTATCTGAGTGAAAAGTTCCCTGACACAGCCACCACCACAGACTGGGAACCAAGCAACCACAGTACACACTAGGTCAGCATGAGCAAGGGCCCATTCGTGGTAAACGTGGCCAAAAACTGGGAGCAAAACCAGATCCCCATCCAGGATGGTGAGACAGACCTTCAGCAACCAAGGAAAACATGCCCAGGGCAGGAGCCCTCCAGAGGGGGCTGCCTCGCTGTGCCTCCCACAAGCTGGGAGCTGGGTCTCCAGCATCAGGGCCAAGGGCCGTGTGAAGGGTCGTTCACAGCAGCTGCCCTGCAGGCAGCAAATAAGGAGGCCTAATCTGACCCAGGGAAGTGAATGTCCAGCAGACTGGAACAGGAGTTAGGAGCAGACAGTCTCCACCCAGATGCGCCTCTCCAACCCTTTACAGGCAAATGTGCCACCTCCCTACTCACGTTGTACACGGCTTCCTGCGGGTTCTTCCTCCTCTGCTAGAAAAGATAAGGGCAGAAAGTCATGGGGGGAAATCAGGAATCTGGCCCGCAGTGCTCTGCCATCAGCACCTCTCATTTCTGGGCGCCCAGAGACTTGTCTCTGTGTTTGGGGTCTCCCAGCCCTCCCAGGGTCCTCAATGGTGTCTGCCCTTCCCCCGGAGCACCAACTCAGGGCAGCTTTGCCCAGGGCGGGGGGGAGGTGGCTGGGGGCTGTCCCTCTGTCCCCTGGCAGATGCATTTCCACATTGGTCACAGGCTTACAAGTGGGACTTGGGGCTGAAGATGAAAGGTGGGGGGGAGCCTTGTCTGGAGCACAGCCAGCCACTGCCCAGCACAGATAGGCCCTTGTGCCCAGCCTACTGAGACTCGACCCGGATGGGCAGGTGAGGGGAAGAGCTGATGGAAGTTACAGAAGCTGAGGGTTCTTGCTCACTCATTCACTCCAGCAATGAGCTTCCAGCACAGAGCTGAGTCTGGAGGGGACTGAGTGGACAGTTGTGACCAGAGACATCAAGGGCCACTGGGCAGCCCAGGCCTTACACTGAGTCCTGCTCCCAAGAGGACCCTTCTTGGATCTCATCCAGATGTTCCTCTCCCCACAGGGGGTCCACGCAGATGCTCAGAGCCTGGAGCCCAGCTGTGCTTGGAGGGGTACCTGGGACCGCAGTCTTGCCCTGTGGCCTTCTACCTTTGCTATGCATACCTCTGACCCAGGCCATGCCTCCTGGGCATGAGAGTGCCACTATGTGTACCTGCCAGAGTGGCTGAGTAGTTTGAGGGGAACACGAGGGTCTGGGACTTGAGGGCTGAGCGACTGCTGGAGCTTGAGCGCCTCCGACTGTCCTCTGGCCCCAGACCCCGCACTTGTTAGGGTAGAGAGTGGTGGCAGGGTGTTGTGGCTTTCGGGAGCCCCTCCTCCATGCCTGCTCCTCCCAGCTGCCCCCACCCACACATGGAGGAGGCCCAGACAGAAGCAACCTACCTGTTTCCCTCCCATCTCAGGATCCCGGCCACGCCTCTTGTCCAGAACATCGTACTCCTCTCTTCGTCCTAGGTTGAGCTCCTGAACAGACAGGAAAGCCTCAGATGGGGTAGGCAGGTGGGGGCAGCTAGACTGACTCACAGGGGCTCAAAAAGAAAGGGAGAGGGACCGGGCTGTGGTGGCAGTAGGGGTTCCTCAGAAGCCACTGTGTCAGAGAGCAGGCATTATTACCCTGAGGGGACAGGTTCCCCAAAGATCGCCAGTGTTTTTCCCCTACTGTTCAGCAACACTGCCCTTAGCAAGGAAAGAAAATGCAGCGTGCAGAGCTTACCCAGTCCCCTCAAGTCTCACTGCACGGGGAAAAGGAATGGCAGCCTTGTGAAAATCCTGTCACCTTCCTGCTCTCCCTAACCCCAGTCCCCAGCCTGTGCAACCTCACAGGGTTTCAAGCTCGCTCCTGCAGTCACATAGGTCACTGACGAAAAACTTGGGAGACAGGGGACCTAGCAGGCATCCCCATCCAGCCTCCAGCCTATGGGTGCAAACTCGATGACGTTTATACAACAGGAAGTGGTCTAACGAAATTCTCAGAATCTGTGCCCCGCATTAAAGGACTCCAGAGTACCAAGGTGCTCTCCATCTATCAAATCCTTACAGCTGTCAACCTCGCTGTGTGCCCAGGAGGCAGGTACAATTATTGTCCCTGACTGACATTTAGAAATCTGAGCCCTGGGGAAGTCTCAGGGTCACAGGGCTGAGGGGGCCCCATACCCACACCCAGCACAGCCTAGGGGACCCTTCTAAGCAGGCCCAGAACCGCGCCTCCCTCCCTGGGGCTCACTTACGTTGTATACCAGGTTCTGGCTTTGCGGGTCCATGGGTACGCCTGCATTGCGGCTGAACTGGAAAAGAGCACAGCCCGTCATTGCTGACCCTCGAAGCACCCATCCCTCCTCCCTGCATGGCTGCTGGCACAGCAGCCTCTTTTCTGTGCTCAACCAGACATCCCTGGGTGCCTCCCTGGCCTGCCCCATGAGCAGCGGCTTGCAGAGCTTGATCTTGGCTTTGCCCATGGCCAACAAGCCCTGAGCGCTTGAGACTTCCAAGATCAACATGTCTCCCAACAGTCACAGAGTGAGGGAGTCCACACCCTCCTTCCCAGGGCCCCGTGGTACCCACCTTGGCTCTCAGGAAAAGGGCAGTGATGATCAGACCATAGATGAAGAGGATCCCATCCAGCAGGTAGCAGAGTTTGGGGTCCAGCAGGCCAAAGATCTGTGCCTCTGTGCCAGGAGAGAAGATGGTCAGCCAGGCCCAGTGTGAGAGGAGACATCCTTACCATCTCAGCGTGGCCCAACTGGTCAAGAAAATCAGGACAAGGGACAGGATCCAATCCCCATGCCTCATCTGACCAACTCCTCTGCACCAGAGCCTGAGAAAACCTTGCTCGCCCCCACAGTGCAAGTAGAGCCTGGAGAAGACAGAGAGCCAGGGAAGATGGAAGGGAGACAGAAATTAGGGGGAAGGTGATGTCCAGAAGGTGATATCCAGAAAGGAGGGGGAGGTGATGTCCAGAGGTGCGCCTCTGGGGCATGGGGGTTCAGGGATGCATGAGCCCTGTACGCTTCCATACTCTGGAAGTTTCTATAAGATGCCCACATCTAGATGAATGACACCACCTGAATTCGGGTACCTGGTTTCAGAAGGAGGGACCAGGACTGGCAGAAGAATGAGTCCTTCAGATCTCTAATATAGTTAGGATGGTGAGGCTTTGCGTTAACTTCCCTGCTGACTCCTGTGTCTTCCAAAGCCAGGCCCTGAACTGGATGTCCACCGTGAGGCCTGGGGCTACACCCTAGAGAGGTCTCATGAGCAACAGACTGGTGACCCCTCTCCCCATTCTCTTTGCCCTAGTCCCACAACCTCAGCCCTGCCCCACTAACCAGTCCCAGGACATACCTGTTTTTCCCAGCTGCCTCTATGCCTTTGCATACTCTGTTCCTGCTACATAATCCCTGCTGCCCTCTGATAAAATCTGATGCCTTTTATAAAATGCAGCTCAAATTGCCTCTGTTTAGTCTATCTCTCACCCCAAATTGCCAAGGAACTCCTAACCACTCACTGCCAAAGTAACCTTTGTCAAACTGTAGTTAGTGTACATGTCGTTGGCACTGGTGTTGAAGTAAATAGGGTTGGGGAGGTAGGTACAAAAGATATTCAGGTTAAATAAAATAAGCCACTTGTATCTGAAAGTTCGCAGCACGGTGGGTGAGGAGTGTTAGTCTATTCTGTAATTCCTACCAGGTGCAGGTGCAGCATCTCAGCCTGTAAACTTCTCACACCACGGTGGTTTAAGGGACTGTGGTCCCAGGCTGAGTCTCTTCCGAGCCCGGGGCGCCATCTGGTGGCTGCCACGGGCTTTTCATGGGCAAGGGACCAGACCGGAGCATTGCCCGGCTTCTGTGGCTAGGAGCAGGCTGCTTATTCTGTTCCAGCTGCCTCTTGTGTTAAACAGAGTGAAATAATACATTTGTTCCGTGTTTCCTTTGTGTCAAACACTGCTTTGACGTCATACTTTGTGAGACTCTCGCAGTGGCGCCAGATGGAAATTGAGGCACAGAGAATTTCAGGTATACCCAGAAGCACACATGGCAACAGGGACACAGCCAAGTACTAGCCCCGCCAGCACTTGGTTCTTCCCACCCTGCTCCCCACTCTGGCCTAGCCCTGCCCATCCTGACGTAGGAGTTTGCCCCCCGGCCCATGGGAGCCAGTGACCCAGAGCTGCCCCAGCATCCCCACTGCCACCCATGAATCCTTCTGACCTCCAACATTTGATTACCAGCCGGGCTCACTCTGGGTCCTCGGCAGCTGGTCTCTGTAAACCTCCCGTAGTTGCCCCCACCCTACTCCACCCCCCACCCCGGCCTGCCTCCCCCTCAACTGTCGGGCCAACCCCTCAAATCGAAGTCCAGAGTCCAGCCCTGCCAGGGCCCTGACTCACCAGCCCAGGCTGCAGGCACAACCCGTCAAGAGAGTCTAGGCTGTAGGCCTGGTAACCAACAGCTGCATCTCTGCATCTCCATGTCTGCCCCCCGCCCCCCTCAGAGCTCAGGGCTCCTGCAGACCGTCATTAGAGGTCAGGGAATTTTCAGGGAAGACACGGGGCTCTGGCCACAGCTGGCTGAGCCCCTGCCCTGGGGCAGTCCCCAAAGCCCCAGCCCCGCTAAAGATAGTGCTCCAAAGTTCTTTGGAAGACCAGCCAGCCCCCAGCAGAGGCCACCAATGCTGGGGAGAGTTTTTCATTTAGTCCTGGAGGGAAGGTGTCAGCAGCGATTTATAGGGGTGGTTGAGATTCAGAAATAGGGCTGGGAGAAAATCGCTCAGTTGCCTGCCACATAAAACGAGAACAGAAAAATTACTGGGCAGTAAATTTAGAACAAATAAGAAGAAATATTTCTTCATGTTGTGCAGAGCCAATGCAGTGGGGGCGGGGAGGGGGGCTGGGCGCCTCCCCAGAGATAAGTAATCGGAACAGGTTTTCTTTCTTTCTTTGTAAAGGGCAGAACGATTTTATGACCCATGACAAGTGTGCTGTGCGGGTTTGGCTGAGAGAATCTTCACTGCATGCTCTTCCCGGGGGATCCCAGGAAGGAACTTGGGACCCAGTAAAATCACACAATATGTTAGCTAGTCATTGGACATCAGCTCAATGCCAGAAGATGTGGGTATCGGGCAGGTTCTAGCCTTTGCCCTAACTCTAAGTATTTGTGTGATCTTGGGCAAGTCAAGTCACCTCACCTCTCTGGGCCCCAGTTTTTCTGTCTGTAAATTGTAGGATAATCATATCTACTTTAAGGGTTATGGTGAGAATTCAGTGAGATGATGAGTGTTTTTGTACATTTCTTCTGTAAGGACAATGATGTCTAACATTTGGGCAGGGGTTTCTGCCCTCATGGGGCATATAATCTAGCTCAAGAGCCCACACACAGGGTGGGGGGTTTCTCGGGAACAGCAGCTTTCCAGAATGCCAACTCAAGGGCAAGAGCCACAGCCCCTCCCTTCTGGGTCTCAGCTTCTTCCCCACCGCCTCCCCCAAGGTAGAGACTGTTCTGCTCCTCCCCTGAGCCTCTTTTGTACTTGTTTTTCTTTCCTGTTTTTTTTAAAAAAAATTATTTATTTATACATATAAGAGCTGGGGTACAGACCAGAGGTGCAGGGGACACAGTGAAAGGATTCACCAATGACAGAGTGGGGTGCAGATTGGCAGATTGACTGGAGTACACTGCTGAGGGGAGAAGCGGGTGGGTCAGCAGAGGTCTGCTGCATCATGTGGGTCAGCTCCCTGCAGGGCTTTAGCCAGTTGAAACACTGGGGAGGGTCCTCTTTTGCACCTGTTTATATTTCCACCACACTCAGTCCCAAAGGGAACTACCAGTCCCCTCCTAGCAGGCTATAGAATCCGTGCCCTGGCTTCCCTCACGCGTTCCTCTCCTCTGCCTCAGACCTGGGCACCTGAGAGAACTCCAGCACTGGAAAGGGAGCCCAGAGGGTTCTCCCCAGACTCTCCATCCCCTCCACCCCAGCTGGACATCACACAGACCAGGGCTGTGATTGAGAACTGCGAGCATGCTGGTGCAGCCACACCTCCCACAAATGTAAAGTTCACCCTCAAACAGAGAGGATGACCAAATTAAAGCCCCAGTCCTCCCAGACTGCGGTTTGCCTAGTGTGCTCTGGGACCTCAGCTCCCCACCTGTGAAATGGGGGTTATGTGACTTCTTTCATGAATGGGCAGTGAGGCTTGAATAATTCTTTCGAGGGGCAGGATCTGGCAGCTAATTAGCGCTCCACGGTGACAGCAAGCAGTCGTCATCACTCTGATCCTGGCCCCCAAATTACCATCCGTCCATTAATTTGAGGGAGAAAGGTCAGACGTTACCAATGACTTATAACTGGGTAGGACTAAGACACCGGTCTCCTGTGTCTCTGGGGTTCGCCGCTGCGCAGGTAATCTCTCCCTGCACCTGTGGCGTCATCTGGAACCCACGAGCATTTGATGAGGGGGACATATTCGGAGCAATCACGTGACTTCCCACTCAGAAGCCACTGCCTCTGTGTCAGAAGAAGGCGCAGAGGAAAAACAAAGGCAGACCTAGCGATGGGCTCCTGGTAGCGGCCGGGACCTGAGGGTGGGCTGGCGAGAGGGCCTCTTGCCCTGTTTACAAAGAGTGGCCCTGACAAGGGGAGCCTTTCTCCCACCGGGTTCTCCACAATCCCTTCTCCGGTCCCTGTCCCAGGCCGACTCAGTGAATCTGTGCAGTAAGGAGAAATTGCCCCAATTCCCTGAAGGTACCTCAACTTTCCCAGTTCGGACGGGTGATCCAATCCATAGACCCAGGCTCAGCCCCACTAGACCCCTGCACTTAGACACATTGAAATATGGACGTGTAGGGGCGGGGCGCGGGGGAGACAGCACGTCTGGGTGTGGCTTGAGGCGCAGGGCACACTAACGTGATCAGCCTCCTCGCACCACCGTAGCCAGACCGAGAATGTGTTTTTGTTTTAGGGATTCGGGTCACTCCAGGATAGCAAAATCGTGATGATGCCCAGTGGGAAAGCTGGCCCTGAGTGCTGGGGTGCCTCCAGCAGCGGATCTGGGATGCAGACACTGGGGAGCCAGAGGGGACCCCGGCTGCAGCTCTGAGTCCCTCACAGCCCCATGCTCACCGCCAGCGAGCTCAGGGCCATCGCGTTCACAGATCTGATGTGGGCAGGCGTGGGCAGGGCCTGGGCAGACTGGGAACTGGATTCTGCAGGCATGGATGCATCCGGCCAGCAGGTCACAGACTCCCCTATGCTGCAGTGGAAGCCATACCTCCCAGGAGTTGGGCACAAAATGAGGAAGAATCCTAGCAGCCCCCTGCCTTTGACAATCTGGTGGAGCTGAGAGGCAGCAGGGTTTCTCAGGATCCCTCAGTGGCTGGGGAGCCCCCAGGGCACCACAAAGAGAAGGCAGAGTAGGACGGTGCCACAGGCTGGAGACGCCCAAGGAGCCCCCCAGGACAGCCTAGGCAGAGTAAACACCCAGGGACTCACTGTGTCCAAACACCCGCAGTCGTATCAGCCTGCATGAGCAAGCCTCTCCCCAGGCCCTGTAAGCTGCGCAGAAGCCCGGTGTTCAGGAATTCCGCAGCACTGCCCGTTAGCAGGGAGGTGCTGGGACCCCAGCACACTGACTGGGCAGGGGGGCCCTTGGGGAGTCCCCCGGCCTTTTAGAGTC